ACTTATGATATTCCACGGAAACCATATTCTGGCCATGACGAAAGTTCGACGACATGTAATCAGAAATAATAGACATTTGCGTGCTACAGTCATAAATAGTATTATTATAACTGTGCAAGTGTAAATTTTATTCACACAAATTTCTGAGTTTTCCAATTAAGGTTCAAGTGTATATTTCTATTTTAAGTTTAATTTTGTAAGTTAACGATTATTTCAAGTTATCTTTAGGATCTTCTTTGCATATGGGTATTCAAATCAAATAAGTAGAGTTCGACATTTCATCATAGTTTTGTATATTACACACTGTTGTGGGCCGTGACGAAGTCTGGGCTAATAGTAAGCTGGCATTTCGTAATGGCACGCTTTGGTGTCAGCCCATCAACTATTGTCGGATTACCTTTATGGGCCATTTGTATGAGATCTGCTACGCTACGGTTAATGATTTCGACCGACTCAGCCGTTTCTATTCTGAGAATCCAACAACTTTTTATCAGAGCTTTGGAAATGAATTGTGGCTAAAGAAGTGGATTTTCTTTTTTCTTTTTTTTTGTTGACGAGTACATACTGCTGCAACCAATGTGATCTAAAAGTAGATACAGTGAGGCACACAAATTTGCGGACGTTTATATACCGTATCATAACATATGAAAACGTTTATATACCTTATCAATTAAAATATACTATTCATGATCACAACAAGGCCTAATTCTGCTATCAACCTCAAAATTAAGTGTTAAAATCCAATATTAGTGTCTTATAATTAGATTTAGCTAATGAGATTACGGACCACATGGTTTTTTAGTTACGTCAACCACATTAATTACCTTCTCAAACAAAAACAGAGTAATGCCCAGACCAGTTACAATTAAAAAAATATACATAAACGTGAGTCCTGTCGGAACTCTAGGACAGAGCCTTTACATCAATCGCCCATAGTGCTAACCATCGGACCATTGAGGTGTCGTCAATTTAAATAACAATAGGACGATTTACAACATTGTGCCGTTGTTGTCAAGTATTATATTATGCGTTAACCATAACATGTTATAATATAAGTTATAGCGGGGATATAATTATATGCAGAGCTGTTGAACAACTCACAAATCAAGTCCCTATGTCTTATTATTACTAAATGTCTCCCCCATTCTATTGAACACCGAAATATCTAGAAAGTTCAAACAGGATAAGAACCATAATTATAGCAGACATGCAATGTTATCAATTTATTTATTAAATTAGATTACAAAAACAGGTTTACATTTAGGTACAATTACGGTCTTCGCTTGTCTGTCTTCTTTCTTATCTGTGACTAAAAGCTGGTAAGTTTTTGCATGCGGTTCTTATTTTAAAGTCAGCAGGCAGTTAGTTACTTATCGCACACTTCAAGCTTGAATCTCTCTAAAACTGCATTCTCACCGTTTATTTTCCTCATGCCGGCCCTAGACCCTCACTGCACCGCCAGAATCCTGCCCGCTGTTTTGGCGACAACAAAACACAAATGCACTCTATCATTTAATTCACTATGCACACAGTTGATTTCATTTCTCAACTCGGGATTGGTTGTTGTTTAATCACGTTAGCTAACATAACAACACTGTATGTTATTGATAAGGCAGAAAACACAGAAAATGTTTATCACGAAACAATCTACACCCACGCAAACATGCTGCAACGCGCGTCAACGCCGCGTGACTGCAGCCGTGTTGCCGGTTGACATTTTGGCGCTGGTGGCACCGTGAGCATCAAAGGAACTACGTTATGGAGACTAACGACTTTCAATAGATGGCGCTGTTTTAAATACAACTAGTCTCATGTTTACTGATTGTACTGCAATGTCCCTCAATTTATCATGTCAATGCAACTACAATGTAAACACGTAAAATAATGAACGGTATACCTTTTTATATTGGGTAGTGGGAATATTTAACGTATTAATTTGATAAATGATACTAATAATGGCACAAAAAACCTAAAAAGCGAATTAATAGAGCATTAATTTAAGCTTACCTTAGGATAAATGTTTCAAATCCAATAAATTGGTGTTTTAATTGCTAGTAATTCTGCGATTTCCTTTTGATATCCTCCAATAAACACCTTATAATGACTGATCTTCACATCACTTTTCCAATTAAATGCCTGCGCTATTTTAGAAACTTTACAATGCAACATAACCCTTACTTATTTACAGTTCATTGAATAGCAAAACTCGCAGTAAACCAAAAGCCGGTGTTGATGAAAAAATCACTAGCGTCACATATCGGTGTCGGTTTATATTGCAACAGTAGTTTCTACTGGGTTTTCCGCAAATTAAGGCTATAACTTAAGCACGATTTGAACACTGTTCGCCATGAACAGCGACCGATAACACTATCCATCACCCCATTATCCTACCCGGCTTGAAGTTAGCAGTGGACCGACACGTCAAAATACACCATAAATAACACCGTACGTTTTCGGGGTGCGCCACCCCTTCCCCCGGCTTCGATCCACACCAAACGTGCACAAACGTTTCGAATACTATTTTTTTTTTTATAATTTTCGAGCTAATAGTTAAAATCGATGCCGGCCGGCGTAAACGTGCGTGGTCGGGAGACTATTTGAGCTATGGCTCGTGAAGAGCCGTTTGAGCTGAAGCGAGGGGAGAGGACTCGTTTATACGAGCATACAATACGTTAAATCGCCTCAAGCCCTCGCTCACCGCGGCCGCTGCGCTTCGCGTCGTCATCCCTGAATTGGCCCTCCACATGTACAGCCAATTAACACGACTTTAATTACGCCTTTTCATTAAACAACTCACCGATTTTTACAGTTTCACTACTGACGCTAGTGCTACTTTTCGAGATAGTGCACAGTTTCGATGCCCGCGCTATAGTTATTTTTAAAGTGCAATTTTCTGCTATCAGGCAAAGGAATAAAGTCAGTACTTACACTCGACTTTAAACGTCAGAAGCCATTTATTTAAATATAGCTGAAAAATAACGTTTCATAATTGTTTAAAAACAATAAAAAAGCTCTATTGGGATCAAAACTTGTCGTCCTGCATAATAATATCCATTCGTTACGCGGTAGAAATACGCTGAAAGGAAAACCTGACAAAGGAAGCCTTTTTAGGGACACGGATAAGACGCGACGCGAAGAAAAAGGAGGGCGACAATTTTTCCGGTTCATATCTTTCTGTACATTTCATTACTTCCGCTATGTATGGACGTAGTAGTCGGGAGCATTCGGGTTGTGTCGGTTGTCTTCGTACGGTTCCGGGAGACTAATCGATAGCCGTCAAACATGCTACGCTCGCTGTAGCGTAGCTAGCTACTACGCGAGTCTACGCTGTGTTGAGGTTACGCTACGAGACGCTCTATATAATCGTACTACACTATGTACGGACAACGGCACATCAGACTACACATTTTTGTTCGAAAATCGCCTCCAGTGCAACGGAACAAGATACATCAATGTGTGTGCTGGCGTGTACATTAATACTCTTTGTGAATTTAAAATAGACTTAAAAACCAAATGCGAAGGACTACCATGAAGTACTATAAAGTTAATAATAGTATAGGATATTTTGTGAAACTTTACTACTGTCACTTTAATGCAAATTTAGAATTTGTAAATTAAATTTTGTACAACCAATAACTAGTTGTTAACCAGAAATGACGTATTAGGGCGCAGTATAATATTATGTAGGTTTGAAGCAATTTCGTGGTCTCCTGCCTGTTATGTCGTCCTGGTAAACAAAACGTCAAGTTTTTAAATTCAATTTACGATAAAATTATTCTAAGTCAAGGGTGTGAAGATTGATGTGCACTGGACTGTATGAACAATCTATATTAACCTTAAATCTGTATAGTTTATTTCAATTTCGAAGTATTAGCGAAAATATTAATTATTTTTAGGTCTACATAAAGATACTATATACTAGATACTATAATTATAATTTATTTATATTGCCTTTCAATAGATGATGAAAAGACTTGTTTTATTATTCATACAGATGTGAAATGTGTATTTTATTGATACTTTTAAAATAAACATTTATAAAGGAAATTTACAAACGTAATAAACAAGGCATATACATACCTATAGTGTGGCACCACCTATTGGCAATATAGTGACTCCGACTAGTCAAAATAATTATACTCAGAAGTCAATTTTTGAATAAAAGTATAGCTTTTCTTAAGCTATATTTTTATATTGTTAAGCATTAAATAACTAGTTTATTTTTTTATTAGATTTAGTGTTAGTTTTGTATCCATGGCCACGAAAATGCAAATGAAAAATGCTAATTGTCAAAAGTTTGATAACTACCTGACACACTTGACAGACAGTTCAGAGTTGAGTACCAACCATAGCATACTGAAGATTTGAAACCGCCTTATTAAAATAAAACGTTGAAAAATTTAAATCTAAGATTTGGCAGTATGGCTAGACCTTAACCTGTCCCGGAGAACGAAAAATTTTACTACTACTGAGTACGGATTTATATATTTCATGAACTTAATCGCGCAATTCGATATACCAATATTACAAATTTACACCTTATTGGGCTATGTTAAGGTTCATTTTAAATAAAAGTAAAAAACCGAGCCGCGTGAGATAGCTCAAAGTAGTGGTCTGTCCTTGTCTAACAAGTTGCCAACGCTAAATAAAATCATCTTAGGTAGTGTCTAGTCCATTAACTTTTTAAATTTTGCTTATATAAAATTTGCATACAGGTAAATATGCTTTTATTGTAATAATACAAAAAATATATAACAACAATAAAACCTTCTATTATGAAGTAGCATATCAAATAAGTATACTAATTTGTATTTATGAAATAATATTAGTAGTTTTGGTTATCCATAAGCGGCCACATATTCTGTAAAAATTAAAAAGTTACGAACAATATGGCTGGCTGAAACATGAATGAACACCTCCATCCTATTAGAAAGAGACGCATTACTACTTTGAAGCCTCTCACTCGGCTCGTTTTATCAACTTAATGCGCGGTCCAGTCCAGTTTATTAAACAAGTCCGTGCTACTGAGTACTTGCCTGCAGTGGTGCCAGATTAGGCGATTTTTCGCCATTTAGACTACTTCGAGGGGTCGTGCGACGACTAAAAAAGTGGTCGGCGACTCGGCGATATTTAGGCTATATTTGAAATATAGTTAGAAGTTCATATTCCCCAATTTCGCGGCAGCAAATTATTTTCCTTGATTTTTAGGAATTTCATGGCTTGGACGAATATCGGCTACTTAACAACATAAATTGGCGATTAACTTCGCAAAAGTCTGACGACACTGCCTGCCTGTACTTGTCAATGTCAACTGTCAACTCCTATGTGCAATAAATATTTTTGCCGCGCCTTTAGATTGTATTGTTGAATTTAAATGGTAATTAGACCAAATAACAGTTTTTAAAGGGTCTCCAAAACATCATGGAACGACCAAGGATCTTATCGTGAGTCTTCGAGTTAAAATTATCTTTAAATATTTGTGCAAATTGACGTCCATTTTAGGATTATAATTTTTGCGTTTTTATAAAAAAATTGCAAGTTACTTTCTTGTCACTCAGTTAAAATATTCTAAATAATTAATTTATTGTTCATTTTCAACAATACTGATGAATTTTCACAAGTTTTTGTTCTAAGAAACCTTATATACATCGTAATTTAAAAATGTTGTCTTGACAGTGGCAACGAATTAGTTGCCAAAGGTGTCATAAAGCTGGATAGTACATTGCCTGAAGTGGGGCTGAAAGATACCGTGCCAAATGGATCTTGGTTGGAGCAGAAGCAGATCCAGTCTGCTTTAGAGGCCAAGAAACAGCTTATTGAGGTAGAGCGAATTGAAAAATGGTAAGACTGTTAATATGTTAGCTGTATGTTTTAGGGTACCAAACCCAAGTTCCTTGAATGTAGGGCTATTTTAGGTACTTGGAATTCTTACTAAACATGTTAACTCGTCCCCTTTGCACGTACCATATCTGCTACACAATAAATACTAATTCAAACACTAGTCTAAGCTCTGTGCACCACACACAAACATTATCTCATCTGCACATTCTCACAATCACACTCTAAATGCCTATATACACCAAATGTATATGTATTTCTTTTAAAATCAAGTGCGTTTTTGACCTCCATCTCACCTAATGTAAAGTGACAATGATATCAACGAAGGAGCACACACACCTAGATAATGCGTACTCACTCAGCCCTTGAAAGGGCCCAAGTTATACTGTTCAGTTATACAGGGTGGAAAGGGCCCAAGTTATACTGTTCAGTTATACAGGGTGTAAATTTGAGACGGGGCAGCAAGGCTAGCTACCTTAATCGCTGGTAGTACAGGAAAATGGTTCTAGAAGACTATCCATGAATTGAGAAGATATTTTGATTGGCATTCACAGATTTTCAAAAATGGTACAGTCAGTAAAATAAAAGGCAATTTATACAAAACTTTTTTTTGTGCCATTCGATCCAGGCTCTGGTAAGGATCAACAGTCGCTATGGGACCAACTGAGGTTAGAGTACTTGAAATGTCAGAAATCGCAAAAAACTTTTTACCTTGCATTTTGTAGGGACATATTTATAATCATCATCAAATTTCGAACAGCCTTGTTTTGTTTTGTAAATAGAGAATTGTCACTTTGAACATGGTTTTTAATCAAAATATTCTCAAATGTGTACTGTATACTACTCAAATGTATACTATAAATTCATTTGTACTAATGATTTAATCTGTTTCTTATAATCTATGCAGGTAATGACTTTTTATAATTAATGGTATTATTATTATTATCATTTAACATAAGTAAAGAATTCAGGTACAAAGTGAAGTCATATAATGATGTATTGAATTATTTAATTTTATTTTAAGACACAGTTATTATAATGAAGTAATAAACAACAAGGCCAATTGAAGAGCATGTTCCACTCCACACATACCTGTGACTAGACGATTTCTTGTAGCAGTAGAACTCCTTGTGAAAGAGTTCGTTCGGGAAGTACTGCCACCTTACATATTTCCGCCGCCTAGCAGTAACTTTACTATTACTGCATTCCGGTTTTCAAGGCTAAGGGCACTGGTGAAATTACTATCACATGAAACCTATCAACTTAGTGACGGGCGTAGTGGCAATGCCCCACAGATCTTTGTGTTTTAAAGGTCTGAGTGACCCTTCAATTCAATAAAATCTTACAAATTTACCTCTGGTTCTTTTTTTGTAAGTAAGTTGTATCCAAAGTACAATGCAAAAGTGGCTGTAGAAATATCTATGCGCTCCTCACATTTTATTTTCGAATAGCAGCTCAAACCAGATTAGAGCCACGCGCCGTCACGCGCGTCGGCCCGAGGAAGCCTGGACTCGCTTGTAGCGCGAGCTCGCCTGTACAAACCGACGAGGCACAACGCGGCTATTGCATTCGCAAGGCCGTGAGAACCCAGCATCACCTCAATAAAATATTTATTTCAGTGGATCCATAAGTCATGCAGTATGGAGAGACGAACTGAAGCTGGCAGATGTGACTAAACAAGTGGGTGGGCACTGGCAATTTTTGGGCCACAAAGTGGGCAAACATTTGTTTCTTAAACCAGAGGAAGCTCTGTTCTTGATGGAAATCGTGAGACCTTTTTATGATTTTGCTTTTTATTTTTTTTGTAGTTTATTCCTTTAAGATCAGATTTATTGCATAAAAGAAGTTTTAATGAAGAGTGATAATTCTGAGACTAATGTTGATAATAAAGAAATTCTTAAAAATAAATATTATAAGATACCTGTGCATACAATTACTTGTTTTATTTGCAATAATTGATTGATCTGAATTTATTATTTTACAGAACTGTCTTCGACTAACATACAATGAAGTGACTGTGTCTCTCCAGCAAGCTTATTCATTACTGCTCTCTGGTAAAATATCATTTCTACACTACAAAGTGTATGCTTCACTCAGTAGACTAGGATATAAAGTCTTCAGACATGACAGTTGTCAACCTACTGATTATGAGAAGAAAATAAACTTGATATCTTCTAAAAATGTTGTAAGAATAGAAGAATCGGAAGCAGTGAAACATGATACTGGAATGATGGTTAATGAGGTAAAGGAAGGAGAAGTAGACGGTAATTATTATCATCTTATTTTTCGATGGTTCTGTAATGCATTTGATGTTGTTTCACAAGACCATCTAAACATTTGCGATTCTAGGACTGTGGAACATTTTATAATATCTTACTATCTGTCCTTATTTGATAGCACTGTTTCTGTACTTCCAACATTATATAATTGAACAACTGACATCCTTTTACGCTGTACTTATATATATTTAAATAACTGAATGTGTTCAATGTTGAATACAAACTACATATTTATTTTTTCAGATGAGATACAGAGTAATGTAAGTGATTGTGGTGAAGAATCCTGTGATATTAATGAGATATTTATTGTGTCTGAAGTTGACAATGTTTCAACTCAGACTTGCATTTTAGGTATGCACCACTATATATTAGGTTCCTTCGGTGTTTAAAGTATTATTAAGAATGTGGTCTTCTGTCTAGTATTTCTTTATATGTACTGTTGTGAAAAAATATAAACTGATTGATCTTTCTTTTTCAGGCGAAAATATGTCTATAACTGCAGAAGATAATTCCAGAACGAACATTGATCAAAGTGAATTTGTAAATTCTGAAGATGATTCTCACAAGGAGGACATAGTGTCTGATCTTTCTTTTAATCAAGATAAGACCAATCAAAATAGTAATATGGAAATAGACAAAAATGTCACGAAAGATTGTGAGATCATTGCATCTTCTAGTCAAGTTTTGCCTGAGCAAGTCCAAAATATAATTTCCGGGCAAGAAAATGCAAAATCTACAAATTTCCAAACAGTTAAAAATTCTAAACTACAAGATTTACAGAAAAGAAAACTGAAACCCTGTAACAATAAAGAAATAGTTAATCTTTTCACAAATGTTCCTGATTTATATCAGAAACGAATAGTCACAATAAAAATACCAGAAGAGCAACATATTCCGAAAAACGTATTCTTGAACAATATCTCTTATGTTCTGAATTTAGAAAGTATTCGGGCAAATATTAAATATTCTAGACCTCATTCTAATGATTCGAGAGCATATAGTGTATCAGAGGAAGTAAATGGGCCTCATGTACTGAGAGTAAGTGATGCTGCTAGCAACATTACGTCATCTAATAATTGGGCTCCTTTTTACCATAATTCTGGGTTTCCAAGGCACCAGTTCAGACAGTTTCAATTTTGGCGACCTCGTCAGTACAATTTTTCTTGGAGGCCATTTTTACCGAGTATTTATTTTGTGCCCCGAGTTCATTTCTATCCACGTCAACCTCCGCCACTGTACAGACCACAAGCCAATCAACTTCAAAGGAATTTCAACAAAAACAATAATAGGAACCAAAGCAAAGACAACGCGAACACAGTAAACGGCAGTAGAAAAAGGAAAACAAAGCAGTATCACTTAGATCACATACAAAGGCTATCTTCGCGGCTTAAGCAGTTAGTTCAAGCGGGCAACACGCATACTGAAAATAGAGTAGCACTACAAAGATTGATAGAAACCTTCAATACGAGATACAACGCGAGGTTACGTTTAACGCCGCAGCTTGATTTAATTGAAGATGAAGTAATTATTGCGACAATAGAACTAGAAGATGAAGATGAAATTAGCAGAAAAAGACCACGGACTGAAGAAATCGACCTTACTAAATATGATGAAAATCTAGAAATGCTTAAAAAATTTTCTTCCAAACTGAAAGATCTTGAAGCAAGCCACAAATCTTGCTCTCGACATAGAAGAGCGTTTTCACATTTAGTTAAAAAATTCAACAAATCATATGATGCTGATGTTTACGTAAATGACAACTATGAAGTGTTCGACAGGACGAGAATAATACTTGATGATTCATCAGACTCTGACTGTATTTTAGATGATACACCAAGTGTGTCCTGTAAGAAGAATGAGAGAACTACGGAAACTTTTGGAAAGAAGTTGAAAAATCCTTTCAACATTCTCAAGAAACTTTCAGAAAAGAACAAAACATCCTTGCCAAGTTGTAGTGAAGATGGACCTTCAACTGAAAATACTGATAAAAGTAATAAAGATGACAATGAATATTCTGAAAATACCACAACAGTTTTTGACAGAAACTGGCTTCCAAGTAAAGAAGATTTTGGGAGAGCAGAAATACCAGCGAAAGGTATGATGTATGACTTTCTAATGAGTTCTAAAAGGGACGAATATATTTACGATTTTATTAAAAATCAACGTTGCGAGTTTGTAAACTGGCTAGAAGCCAAAATTGCTTTTTTAAGAGATGTCGAAGTAGCCACAGCAGCAATTGAAAAAGATATAGCTAATCAAATTGAAGTGAAAATCGACTCTATTATAAAGCCTGATGATTGCATTGATATGCCTTCTGTTTTAAAGAAGTTGAGCATTATACAAACGCACAAAGAAGAAGATAGCCGAACGGATTTGATCATAGACTTTGATGTGTACAATAGAGATGTTCAAAACTTTAAGAAGTCGAATAAACCCAAACCGCACTTCAGAGTAATCTGTACTAGGTAAGTGCGATACGTAAAGTTTTATGTTGAACTACAAGGTTTATTAGGAATTCTAAAAAAGTTGTTAGATAGGAAATGAAACTATTTTTCCGGATTTAAATCGCGTACGTTTGTTTTTTCAAACAAACCGACGTTTCGGGCCCTTTACAGGTCCCATGGTCACGGTTGACTGGGGTGGTACTGTCTTCAACCAGTTATGACTAATATTAATGCAAACCACCCTATTTTTTTCACTATAGTTACAATAGTTATAAATTAAATACCTTATTTTAAATTTTACAAAGAAAATATTCCAATTTACGCTACATTAAGTTTTACAAATTATTTTATTGAATGACTTGTTATTAAGTTCAATTTATTATTAATTAATAATGGAAATTAGAACAAACTAAAACATATTGATTAGTAGTGCAGTTTTGTGTTGTTTGGGATTTTTCATCAGAGGAAATACTGGATCCCAAACTGATGGTACAGAGAAACCATCTTCCCTGTTGAAATTAGGATGTTTTTTAATTTCAATGGCCTCTCGCTCGATCCTGGGTACATAACGGACTTCTTTTGCGAGGACCTGGGGCTTGTGAAACTTAATTGAATGTGTAGGTTTATCCATGACATTTTCGCAGACTGCAGAATTGTTTACGCGACGGTGTTTGACATCAGCTATATGTTATTTGACGCGGGTACAAATACTTCGCTTTCTGTTTCTGGATGCCAATTAATAACAAATAACAATAAGACCAAGGATCTAATTTAACTTTGTTACTATTTCAGTGAAAACTACAAATTTCCTTCTGGCAGCGACGTCGATACCATTCATGCGCAATACGAAGATAATGTACCCATACTCTTCGCCATTGTGGGCGTGGGGTCCGTCTCCTACTTGCAGATAAATCCTAACAACTTACCAATGTATATTTCAAGTAATGATCTTACTTAATTTTTTTCAGTATCCTAGTTAATGTTTTGTTTATTAAGATAGTTCTCATCGTGCTAAATCAGAACTGATCAGAATGACAATGAGGATTAAATATTAACTAATGATAATAATTAAGCACCAAGGAAATAAACTTAGTAATATTTGATTAAATGAGACTTGTCTATGTAATATCTTTCAAGTATCTAATAAGTATATATACTACGCCTCAATTGACATCGCCACAGAACGGAATGGAAGCTTGTAATAGCATATTGAACTTCATGTCAATTGTGTAACTAGATCGATATGATAGCGGGAGTATTCTCAAGGAATGCAGAACCTGTTTTATTGCCTCGTCTCTAAATTGTACGTTACACAATTGACATAAAGTTTGTTATGCTCTGGTAACAAAAATTTGCTTCCCTTCAGTTCCGCAGCAACGTAAATTGATCCTATTTCTGTATTTATAACAGGGTTGCAATAAAACCTCGTATTTTTAAGTAGTTATTTTATTTCTGTTATTTAATAAATATTCGTATATTTTAAAGCTCCATTCTTTTAATTAAAAGCGACTATATGGCACGTGGGTTATGGATGGCTTATAATTAGTGCAAATTACTGTAACTATAGGGCCAAAAACTTCTTAAGGGCGCGTTCAAATTAGGCACTTACAAAGGGTTTTTCAACAAGAACTTTGTTTTGGAAATCAAAATAAAACATTTAGATGACAATGATTGAAATATTTTTTGTATTAAAAAGAGTAAGGTCAAAAAAAGTCACACAGCCACCGAAACAATTAATTTATTGCAAACCAAATTTCCCGATCGCATAATTTCACGAAATTAATCCGTTAAGTGGCCAGCTAGATCATGTGATTTAACACCGCTGGATTTTTTTATGGGGTTATGTTAAAGACAGAGTCTATACGGAGCCAATCGAATCGATTGCAGCCTTAAAACTCAAAATTCGTGTGGTGTTTAACGAAATAGACCCACCATTTTGTCAAAAAGTGATTAAAACTGATGAAAGAATCGACATCTGTAACTGTGGTCGTGGTGGACATTTATCAGATATCATTTTTCATTAATAATTGCCAAACCTTACTTTTTTAATATAATAAAAATTTGAATCATTGTCATCTAAATTTATTGTTTTATTTTGATTTACAAAACAAAGTTCAGTAGTTCAGCACCACTACTAATTTTCATATAAATTTAGAAGCGCAGTTGCAGCAGAGCCACTCGTGACACGCGCGCGCTGTTTTTGCAATCACAATAAGTGAATTAAAATTTACTAAAGCGCTACAGATGCGTGGTAGCCACGTCAGTGCAGCGCTTCTATAAGCGTCATGAAGGCGCCCTAAGTTGCACATAGAAACCAGACGAACGAAGTGTAGCCCAAAAATTAATTCTTTGCTAAGTGCTTAGCGAAATAAGGCAAATTGCATCAGTTAAAACTGAATTTGTAAATTAAAAATAAAATACAGTAAAAAGAACTAGTGCAGATAACAAAACCAAATTATACTAATGCGAAAATGTACCACTTTCCACACCGTTTGCCGCTATAGAAAATGCTACAATTCTCAAAATTATTAAAATTGAGACACGGACGCCAAGATTATTGCAAATTCGTGGTGATTACATCAGTTGCATTTGCAATAACCCCGTGATGTTAGGGTCGTCTTGACTAATAGACTTGCAAACTGATTTCCACAATTTCAACTGTATTTTTTCGTACAACAAATAAAATTAGACCCTCCACTTATTAAACAAGTAACTAGTGTTACAATTTGGCCAGCATAGCCTAAGTTTAACATACTTCGTTTACAAACACAACCGTTCGTATTATTACTCTAAATTGGTGTAAAACCTTAATTTATGTCGGAACATTTTTCTTATAGTAAAAATTATGAGCTTTGCTAAGAAATAATTTCTTAGTAACAGCCTAAAATTCTAGTAGGCGGGTCAAATGGCAATTAAGTGCACTATCTCACACGGTACAGAACAATACCTTGATATAATTAGACAAGTAGTGTAACTCTATGGGATGTTAAACGCCCATCGCACGCACGGCCGCACACATTCGCATAATCTCCCGGTGCACTCACGTTGCATAACGCGAGTCGTCTCACGCGCCTTTCATTATAGAACTGAAATGTTTGCTCGATATTTTAAAACATATCAAATAGTACCTAGATGTGTTTATTGAAGAGTTAAACAAGAGTGAATCAAATCCAGGATTGTTAGCATTTCATTTCTGTTTCATAATCATACTCCCATAATCGATATACCAATCCGCGATCCTGGTATAAAAATATTAATACATAAGTACTGCATTTAACAAAGGTTATTTCTATATAGCACGAGAATGCTTTGAGGAACACCTTAATTTTACAACCTGTACGCTCGGGGTACACGAAGGGAACCTCCTCCCAATGGCGTACTATTATGTCCTCTGTACGTCTGACGCACCCTGAACAACAATCGGCGAATAAATTACGCCGATTGGCTAATTTTTCGGACTAGTGTTCACTACCTAATTTCCGTGGCATTTTTTATTATTTTTAATATTCAAGTATATTATTGTGTAATTATTAAACACTATTTTACGATACAATACTCGAAGATTAAATTGCATCAGTAAAAACACTAGACCGGGAATGACCGAAACATGTCTCACAATTCAGCATGGCGCCTACTGCTAGTGAAGCGGGTACTGGCTTATAACTTCTGTGTCCACAATAACAGTGTATGCCATGGATACGATAAGAACCTGTAGGTACAACTAAAATAATAAAGTGACAACCCTACGCTCCGAGTGAAGTGTAGGCATTGATACGCCGAACAGGTGGGAGTAGTTCTACTTGTCTTTTTATACTACAACAATACTTGACATTTCTTAGTTTAAAATACTTACAACAGCATCCACCATACTAAACATAGGTACATCATTTGTATTACTTTTTATGCAATTGATGATCGATTTATTATTCAACGGTTGAAATAGATGTTCCAAATGTTTATTTATTATAAATGTCTACATATTTCCGGAAATAGTTTTACTGCATCGTAGGATAAAACTATTCACCTAGAAAGCTCAACTGCAGCTTTTTTATTTTCATTTTAAAATTAATTCTAGTGGTGCATTAGTTAAAACAAGCTTTTGCTTATAGTCTAATATTTACTTTGGTGAAATATTTGTTTTGTACTACATTTATTTTTACAATTACTTTAAAATCCAAGTTCATCTTTGTATGCGAGTAGTTTATTTATCTTACGATGCAATAATTTTTTTTCCGGAATCCGGGATTCGAAAAAGTGATGAATAAATAGTTGTTGGTTTTAACCACTCTATGAGTCGTATTCTAGAACTCTACTCAATGCTCAAGTCAGGATTTGAGCAGACTTGAGTATGATTTCAAGCACTGGAAATCCGACCCTAATGGCAAGGACTTGAGTATGATTTTCAGTGCTCACTACAATACTCAAGTCCTGACCTGAGTATTGAGTAGAGTTCTGGAATACGACCCTAAGTCACACCTTGTATCTATATGTAGACGTTTATCTTTTTATTTCGAGCACCTTATCCCATAGATTATTATTGTGTAAATTGCGTCGCATATTTTATAGCGCAAAAATTGAAGTAAAGAATACACAATGTGGATAATTTTACCTACCTGATACGTTACTCGGTAATTAATAATTATATATTTAAGTAACTATGTAAACAATTGTTATCAAGCTTCATAATCGTATAAATTATGAGCTCGCAAAATGTTAAAAATGGATGAACACAAATTCGATATAAATTATGTGTTATTCGATTAATCTACTTAGGAACTCGAAAGCGAAAATTTCACTTATTTACTGTCAAATCCAAACTGCTTCATTTAGCATATTTATAATGATAGTTCAAATTAATTATTGCTAAGTTATAGTAACTTCAATCCTAAAATTTAACAGATGTTAGCAGCGAATTATTAAAAATTGCAATTTCTATATTCTCTTGCATATATATTGCAACTTACCACATCAATCCCAACCAAAATTGATGCCAGACATCTCATAAAATCTCTCATTAAATGGCTTATAGAACTCTTTAAGGCGTTGTATAGTTACAGGGTCTATGTGAGGATGGTTTCTTCCTTTGTTTTTGCCAAGGCAGTGAGGTGTAGAACGGCTTTCAGACTTGAAGAGGCAGGGGAAACCTTTAGTAGAATTGAAGTAGAAATGTTTTTCCGTTATCACACGTTTGAGACCAAGGAACTTCTGAAACATTAAAAACGTTGTCCTTAACGTAAATTATGTGATTGTCCATGTTTATGGTAATAAATAAAATATAAATCCAAAATAAAAGTAATATAAATAGCTTAGTCGTTGGCCCTCGTGAATGCATCTGAGAATGTTTGATAATTATCAAAAACAGCAACAATTAACAATTATATCAAATCAAGGACAAGATTGTGTATCTAGTTTATTGTTCTTTGTTTGATGTGTATTATATTATAAATTATAATTCTAAACTTTGGTCAATTTAGAAAAAGTAGTCATGTCGATTATTTGACTTACTACTTACTGCGCACAAGTACAAGTACAGAGACAAGTAAAAGGCAGAGTACAATAGATGGCGTTAACTTTAACTAACTTGACAGATCTAAAAGTATAGTCATCCCATTTATTCTATATTCATTAAAAAGTTACAAAAATATTTTAAAATAATATTTTTATTATCACTCTTTGATTTACAACACAATAGTTGTTTAGACTAGCAAAATGAGAATTCTTTATTAACTAGTCCATATTTAGGAACTTCATATTTACCTGTACCCTGGCCATTTCAGCTGCAGGATCATTAACCAGTCTCTCTCCACTTATAAGAAGAAGACGTGACCTTGGGAATCTCCTTAGCCAACGTCTCAAGGGCCTTGCATAGACACCAAGCCGAACGGGAGGCCATGTTGCGTCTACTACAGACCAAGGAGCTCTTCCCCAACCCATGGTGCTGTTTACCAAAGCTAGGTCTTCAAAACGTGGAAGGGATGGGCGTTTACTGTGTAGACAAAGTTTAAAATCATCAACAGCGTGCGTGTTTCGTTTTTGATGGAATAAATCGCTATTTAACACATTTTCAAAAAATTCTTTTTATTGTTTGACAGCATTGGTTTCTATTTTGATCAGTAAATATATAGAAAAGAGTAGCTGAAATACCCTTGAAACTTTGCTTGTGTGGCTGTGACAGTATCTAAATAGCTACTACAGTGGTGTTTACATAATCTCGCAAACCTACACATTTCTAGGCTCTGTGTCATCAATTGTAGAATTGTGGTTGAAATATACTATTGATTTGAAATGTAACGCTCCCTTTTTTACTTTAAATATAAAGAAACCAGAAAATTTGTATGTCTCCTTAATGTTATGTAAGTTTCAACTTTTCATTGCCTTGACCACAAAAGCAAATTTTTTGCAAGAAAATAAAGTCTTTTCATGTTCAACTATAAGTTTCCAGAACGAATAAGAAAAAATACTATAAATGGTTAGAAATGATGTTGATGATATTGTTTCTCAAAATATTCTCCGTTAGCGTTAATGCACTGTTTCATACGAATGAACAAATTTTGAAAATATTTGTGCCACTCCTCCGTGATAATCTCTGAAACACATTTTTCATACTCTTCGACAGCCCTTTAAGGTGATGAATTCGTTGACCGCGTAACTGGTTCTTAATTTTTGGAAATAAATAAAAGTCACAAGGTACCAGGTCGGGACTGTACGCGAGATGGCTCATAAGGTCAACGTTGTTCACATTCAAAAATTCATTTGTCTGTCAGGTCGTGTGAAAACTGGCATTATCGTGGTGCAAGATGATATGGCGTTTACGGTTATTTTTACGGAATTTGTCAATAACTTCCGACAAACAAATGGTCGTGTACCAATCACTATTCACGGTACAACGATTTTCCAAAGCAACAGTAGCCACATGTCCAGTTTTATTAAAGAAAAGAAGCAATCATCCGCTTAGAGGCATTTTGCACGCATGCCACTTTGGTTGGTGTCGGCTCATCTCGAAAGACGTAACGAAGTAACTATAAATCCATGTTTCATCACCTGTTATTATGTCCCACACCAAATTTGACGCCCCTTCGTTGAATCTGGTAAGCATGGCATTGCACCATGTGACGCGATCCGTTTTTCAAGCCTCAGTCAAATTGTGTGGGATCCACCAAGAGCACAGCTTTTTCACACCCAAATGTTTGTGTAGTATTGATTGTATTTGATTCATGTCTATGCCTAAAGATGTTCGAATCTCATGGTATGTCACATACCTGTTTGTTTTGATCATACGGCGCACAGCATCGATGTTTTTGTTGTTCGCAGCATTGGACGGGCGACCATCACGAAATTCGTCACTGAGATTCACACGACCGCGTTTAAATTCTGCAAACCAGCTATAAATAGTCGTCTTTCATGGTGCTTCATCGCCAAAACAGTTTGAAGCCGAGTGAAACTCCGCTGAGCTCTTAAATTACATTTAAAGTCGTAGAAAATCATACTACGAAAATGTTCACGAGTTAAATCCATGGTGATGTAGACAACCAATTTCTATAATGACGCCACAATGTAAAAACAAGTGACAGTCAGATGAAACAAACTGTATTCTACAGCCAAAGAGTTCCATTTTCAAATGTTGTAATTACTTCTGAAATATTGTGTATGTAAGTGGCCAGTTCCGGAAACTTATAGTGCGCCCTATGTAGTTTTGTTTATTCTCGAATTAACATGTGTGTACGTATGTGTTTAGAAAAAAATATAGTTGTTTTAAATACATACCTTGCAGATTGTGTATAGTCACTTATAGCCCTAGTGACCGGATCTCTGACCACAGCTAGTAATTTGACAGAATGGTTCATGGCATAAACGCGGCGTGGCGCTGACCGTGTCACCCAATATGAGGGGGTCTTTTCCATCGTGATCTGGCCCTCCAGTGTTGGTGGCATTTTATCTCTGAAATTTTTAGTGGCTTTTTATTGACAAGTATTTATGATATTAACTTTATAGAATATCACAATGTTTTACTGCCATGTTATTTAATTCATTTTTGTGAAATTAGTCCACTAGTTTGTTATAATTAACAATACAAAGATCGAACTCTAAGAAAAATTATTTCGATCCAGCGCCTTCAGCTAAGGTGCTATTTTTAACATACTAAGGCAGTAGAATGGAATCTTTCTAAATTAAGTAAAGAAAATTAGGAAGACAAATTAGCATTAAGATTCGTTAATAATATCATGGATCAATAACTCCAGAGGACTGCTAACGCGATACAAAGCAGCGTAGTCGGGTTTTTAGTACCTATAGGTACACCACACCATGTCGCGTCGAGTAGGGGAGAGCGGGGCTGTACGTTCAGTTTCAAATTTTTAATTGTTCTTTATTAATTCCTTTGCCTCGTCATTCTCACTTTGTTTCATTCCGTCGTCACTCTCTTCCAAACTCCCGAAGCGAGCGCATGTGCTCTTTCTCATCATTCTATATTACAAATACAATAAGTATACTAACTATAGTTATATAGTATAGTAAGTAGTTTTTTCAAACAAATCAACCGTGACCGTGGGACCTGTAAAGGGCCCGAAACGTTGGTTTGTTTGAAAAAACAAATATACGCAATTTAAATCTGGAACAAAAATTCCATTTCGTATGTGTAACTTCGGTTTTTCGCGATTGTTATATATATGTAAATAGCGTACACTTTCTCTCTCTGAACTCGATACAATAGTTTCTTATTAATGTCGAAGTTCTGGTACGTTTAGAAATGACAAACCTCCACAAACACACCTGCAGGGGGCCTAAAAAGGCCGCATTGGCATGATCATAATATGACCAATAGACAATTCGTATTATGAATTTTGAAATAAAACAAAAAACCCAATTCATCTATTAGACAGTGATCTATGGAGGTTTTAAGGAGACCACTGTCAAATAGATGAATTACGTTTTATTGTTTTGTGTGAAAACTCATAACATGAATTGTCTATTAATTATATTATGATTCTGCTCATTTTTAGATTACAATCTACAGGAGGTTAAGCGGTGCCAGCAGTGTGCGACAACCTTTTCAAATTTGTTTTACATTGACAAGCTGCAATTTAACAAATTTACTCTAATTTCTGACGATAACACACAAATCAACTAGATGGCGCTCAGTACACACATTTTTATGGACAGTGCCGTCTATTTTGTTTAGGATTAGCTCCATTTACGCATGAGGAAGTGTTAATTTAGTTTGTGACACACAATGCCATATATTGACACGCATATTGTATATTTGTCAAAGTTCAGAAAATAATCAACATTTGAATAATATTACAAGAAACTGACTTCTTGTATTTCATATTAAAGAGGAATTAATTGATGTTCACGGTCATTTACATAATATAAACTACATCCAGACTGTTGACCAGCGCCATCTAGTTTTTAAGACGAGATTTTGACCTTTTTCAGAATTACAATCTGTAGTATGGAGATTAACAACTCTCTTGGGTTATAGGACCATGATAATATTAAGGAATATAAAAAAGGGGAAACAATTGAAAAAAAAAAATACTATGAAAACTTACCTATACCATTCAAAGCCCTTATGGTAAAACTTATCAAAAAAATGAACTTCTGAACCAGCAGCTCTAACATCAGGATGTAGTCTGAAAAAAAATTAGGAAAAACTTTTATAATGGTTACTGAATATACTTGAGTATTAAAAGCCTTCGATACAACCAAAATAAGTTTTATGGTTTGTCTATTTTCAACATCCAAACTAATATTATGAATGCGAGAGTAACTGTTACACTTTCGCGCCTGAAGCTTGGGTGGCACGAGTAGGACCCTGCACCCATCATACGCAAAATATGCACCTAGACGTCAACTTGCGGACACTAGCCCTTCACACCAGAACCCTTATCGTTTTCCTTACGTCCGTCAGGACAAACAAGCAAAGGTCTATATTCTTACCGTAAAAACTCCAAAAGAGCTCTAGTACCACACTTTTTAACCCCAATAATCAAGGCATCTGGCAGTCTTTTCACTGGTACCAAGTTCTTTCTTAATCTTCTGTACTTTTCAGTGCTGTCGTCGAACTTTAGTCCGAAGAATGAAGCCAGGCTTTTGTAGTTAGAACGTTTCAGAAACACGTATTTTAAAGTTATCTGAAATTATATTATTTTGTTCATTTATTAGTAAATTACGATAGTAGCTACTATTACCTAATAATACGAATTCAGACTATTATAAATTTACTAAGAATTTCAAAATAATTTGAACTGCAGATAAATATGTCTTGTCAGAAACATAAGTGATCTTAGTTTTGCCAACTTTACAAACCTTTTTTTCGTCAACTAGACAAGTATTCACAGCATAAAATAAATACAAGAGAAATAACAATATGAAATAAATAAACATAGTTCGCTTTGAAATCGCCGGTATCCATCTCATTGCTGTTTTTCGAATTCATGTCTTACATTGATTTGGTACCGATTTGTTCACATCTCGCATAAATACAATGGATTTGGCAAACATCTGAACACATAATGCAAGAAGAATACCTAATATGTTAACACTGCAGTATTTCCGTCAGAAAAAAACAGCTCAAGGCCGATCAATGCTATTTCTGTGCCCCAACCCTCCTTGGGAAACCAAAAATCGGCGCGCGCATCGACTTGAAAATAACGCCAAAAAATCTTACCGCGCTGCACGCTGGGCGTTGTAGTTCGACGTCCGGATCCGGAAGTATAAGTTTTTTATTAAGAATTTTGGCTTGGATACAAGTAATTTGAGCCATGTCTTCGTTTAACAAATATTTTCCGTTGTGGTTGTAATATAATTTTATTATGTTTACACTTTTACTTAATAACTTAGTTTACTTGTTTGGGTTTTTTAAATAGTCTATTAAGCGGCGGGTGTCAATATTTATGTTTTCACTTTAACTCAAATCACATTATTGTCACTTTAAACAAAAAAATTGAATTCGTAATGGAATTTTCAGGATTTATAGTCTTTTGGGTTTTTTGTAATTTGGTTTAAATTATGGAATATATTTCCAACTTTTTCCGCCACTATTTCTTTCTTCGTATTTTCTTCATAATAAACTCAAAATAAAAATAATATGTGTTAAAACTTCATAAACTCGCCCCACCCGTCCCCCTGGGAGTCTAATAAGGGTCGTATTCTAGAACTCTACTCAATGCTCAAGTCAGGATTTGAGTATGGTTTAAAGCACTCGAAGTCATACTCAAGTCCCTGCCATTAGGGTCGTATTTCCAGTACTTGTGTTTCCAGTGCAATCCTAATTTGAGCATTGAGTAGAGTTCTAGAATACGAAATCATACTCAAGTCCTGACTTGAGCATTGAGTAGAGTTCTGGTAAGAACATTGTTTGAACTGTGCTTTATTGTGATTATTACCGGTTTTAAAAAAATCGTTTTGTTAGTTTTCGATTTGAAACTTATCATTTGCAGAGAGTTAAATAATATTTAACTTGAAAGATGCTAAACATTGGAAATTATCACGTATATTTGTTTTTTTCAACCAAACCTTTGTTCCGAACCCATACCATGGCCACCGATGACTAAGCAAATCAAAAAAATGTAGATGGTAGTCATCAAATAGTTGAGTAAATATTAATGCAAACTATATTAATTTTGAACTATAGTTACTTATTAATTAAAATTATTTTTTATTACCTTAAAAGTAATACATACATAGCCTATAACTTAGAATAATAACGCATAGAAACCTAGCCCGCACACGCTAAGTGAGGCAAGTTAGAGGGTTCCAAACGCGTCCCAGGAGCGCGCGGGCTGTTAGTGCTCAAGGTCATATTGCACCGCGAACAGCTCCAAAATTTTTTGCTAAAAATGACGAAATGTGCGGTAAATGGGTGTAAAAATACAACAGACAAACAAAATAGACACTAACATCGCATTCCACAAGTAAGTAATGCGTTTCAACTCATATTTTTATGTAAATATTCACTAAAACAGAAAAATAATTTCGCGGCAACAAGATACGAAAGTGTTGCAAAGTAACGAATTTTTTTTCTCCCCATTTTGCTATTCTGTATCAAAATAATTATATTACGTAAATTTTAGTGGTGCCTGTAATTTCGATTTATTTGCGCATTTTGAACGAATATTTACTCGAATAAACATTAAATGTTTTCGTTAACTCCTGTAAGTGATTGGGACACTTAATTATTTTATAATACTTTTAACGGCTCTGCGTTCATGCTTTATTGAATAATTATTTATATTAATTTTATTTGAATTGGAGCACATATTGCAACAAATTTACAGTATATATTTGTTTCTACTATAGTGTTGGCACCACCAGTACAACTTTGATAGCTTATTATATGTCTTTCTTTTCGTAACTCAAGCGAAATATTTTATATTAAAATATTTTATTTTCTTAAAAGGGGAGCATTCTTAAGCGATTTTTTAATCTATTTTAACAGTTATTTTCTTTAATGTTTGCTTATGGCATTTTCGGTTTTAGGTTTCGAATATGGCACTTATTTCTAAATCCAAGATGGCGGGCGCGATTTTTCGAATAATGGCAAGTTGGGTATCGTTTTTGAGATGTTTGGGAATGTTCAATACAAATATGGGACTCATTTCTAAATCCAAGATGGCAAACACGACAGTTCAAACAAAAGCAATATTCGTAATGAGCACCCCCAAATACCTCGAAAACGATACCCAACTTGCCATTATTTGAAAAATCGTGCCCGCCATCTTGGATTTACAAATAGTGCCATATTCACATTGAGCATCCCCAAACACCTCGAAAATGATACCCACATAGCATTTTTTTGAAAAAATCGTGTCCGCCATCTTGGATTTAGAAATGAGTGCCATATTCGTCATG